GCAGGCCAGGCAGCATCAGAGGAGCAGGAAAGTTGACGTTTTGGGTCAGGACTCTTCTTCAGACCTGAAACGTCAGCTTTCCTGTTCCTCTGATGCTGCCTGGCCTGCTGTGTTCCTCCAGATCCACACTGTTATCTCTGACTCCAGCATCTGCAGTTCTTACTATCTCTAATTCCAGCACCAGTTGTCTCAGGGAAATCTCTAGAAAAGTATAAGGCAGTAGAAGTATAGTTAAGAGGGAAATCAGGAAGGCAAAAAGGGGACATGAAATAGCTTTGGCAAATAGGGTTAAAGAGAATCCAAAGGGATTCTAAAATACATTAAGGACAAAAGAATAACTACAGAGGGAAAAGGGCCCCTTAAAAATCAACAAGACCACCTATGTATGGAACTGCAGGAGATGGGGGAGATACTAAATGAGTATTTTACATCAGTGTTTACTGTGGAGAAGGATATGGAAGGTAGAAGACATGGGGAAATAAATAGCGACCTCTTGAAAAATGTCCATATTACAGAGGAGGAGGTGCTGGACATCTTAAAATGCATAAAGGTGGATAAATCCCTAGAACCCTGTGGGAAGCGAGGGAAGTGATTGCTTGGCCCCTTGCTGAGATATTTGTATCAGCGATAGCCACAGGTGAGGTGCCGGAAGACTTGAGTCAGTATGGCTTTGTGCGTGGGAAAATGTATCTCACTAACTTGATTGAGTTTTTTGAAGAAGTAACAAAGTGGATTGGTGAGAGCAGAGCGCTGGACGTGATCCAAATAGATTTCAGTCAGGCATTCGACAAGGTTCCTCATGGCAGACTGATTAGCGAGGTTAGAGCACATGGAATACAGGGAGAACTAGCCATTTAGATACAGAAGTGGCTTGAAGAAAGAAGACAGAGGGTGGTGGTGGAGGGTTGCTTGTCAGACTGGAGGCCTGTGACCAGTGGTGTTGGATCCACTGCTTCTCATCATAGGAGGTATGGCTAATAAGTTTGCAGATGACACCAAAATTGGTGGTGTGGTGGACAGTGAAGAAGGTTACCTCAGAGTATAATGTGATCTTGATTAGATGGGCCAATGGACTGAGGGGTGGCAGATGGAGTTTTATTTAGATAAATGTAAGGTGCTGTATTTTGGAAAGGCAAATTAGGGCAGGATTTATACACTTAATGATAAGGTTGTGGGGAGCTGAACAACGAGACCTTGGAGGGCAGGTTCATAGTTCCTTGAAAGTGGAGTTGCAGGTAGATAGGATAGTGAATAAGGCGTTTGGTAAGCTTGCCTTTATTGGTCAGTGCATGGAGTATGTGAGTTGGGAGGTCATGTTGAGGCTGTACAGGACATTGGTTTGGCCATTTTTGGAATACTGCGTTCAATTCTGGTCTCCCTGCTATAAGAAGAATGTTGTGAAACATGAAAGGGTTCAGAAAAGATTTACAAGGATGTTACCAGGGTTGGAGGGTTTAAGCTATAGGGAGAGGCTGAATAGGCTGGGGCCATTTTCCCTGGAGCTTCGGAGGCTGAGGGGTGACTTTATAGAAGTTTATAAAATCATGAGGGGCATGAATAGGGTGAAAGGCCAGGGTCTTTTCCCCAGGATAGAGGAGTCCAAAACTAGACGGCATAGGTTTAAGGTGAGAAGGGAAAGATTTAAAAGGGACCTAAGGGGCAACTTCTTCATGCAGAAGGTGGTTTGTGTATGAAATGAGCAACCAGAGGAAGTGGTGGAGGCTGGTACAATTGCAACATTTAAAAAGCATCTGGATGGGTATATGAATAGGAAGGGTATAGAGGGATATGGACTAAATGCTGGCAATGGGACTAGATTAACTTAGGATATCCGGTCGGCATGAATGAGTTGGACTGAAGGATCTGTTTTCCTGCTGTACAGCTCTATGATTCTGACTCTATGACATAATTTGCTTGCAGTGGAGTGATTAAACACTGGTTAGACCTGTTTTTGGATATACAGAGGGCACCAATCCCTATTTTAGAGTTGTATACTGCTGGCATTTATCCTTGTAGAGGTTAGCTGTCCTCTCACTCAATATGAGCAAGCACTACTTATCTACTGTGCTGCAGGCTAAATACATGATGCTTGTATATTGATGTCTATGATGTGCAAGTTGTCCCAACTTTAAGAACTGAAATGACACACAGTTGAAGAAAGGGGCAGAATTTCTCCCAGAAAATTTGCTTTCCTTTCTACATTCTTTGCCAAACCACAATTTGCATGGCAGCTCTTAATCAGGGATTGCTTAATGAGCACTTCATTGCTCCTGTTGGGGAGCCAACAGTTTCCATTAGAACAGGTAATTCTTATGGTAGCATTCACTACAAGTGACACTTAAGAAACCTGTCAACTGAACTTGCAAACTCTTCTGCTCCTATGATGCTGCTCGGCCTGCTGTGTTCATCCAGCTCTGCACCTTGTTGTCTCAGTTTAAAATGAGGATTGCCAAGCCTGTACAATGACAGAAACCTCGACAGTGTGACTCAGATCGGGTCACAAACCATTCAGGTGGAAGAGACATGGGCTGTGCTTTGAAATTTTGAATCAGCTGCAGATTACTTTTGATTGTGATTGTAATGTGTGTTGTGTAAACATTATTGCCCAACACTAAATCTTCTCCCTCAGAGACTAATGGCACTAATTCAAATTTCTGAAACAATCGTTGATCCTGCTAATTGGACAAGCCAGAAATTTCACGACTAAATATAAACACAAATGCACTATTATATTTAATCTTTAATCTTAATTACCTGAGAGGTTTCATAAAATTGATTGAGTATATTACAAAAGAAATAAAATGCTATCGACGCAAATTACTGTTTCATTTGAATTGTATTTTCACCCTTTTCACATAATCTGCCTAATTAACATCTGGAAGAGCAGATGGTCAAACAATACTCGATCATTCAGCAGGGATGTAGTCATGATGGAGAGACTTGCTTATAATAATGGGAGACTGGGTTACAATCCCTAGATATGAAAAGGTTAAGGGATGTTTGTTTAAAGTAATCAGGGTGATTGGCAGGAGTAGGGTTGAGAATTTCTCTCTCGGGCAATTCTAGGGCAAGGTGACATGCCAATTGCAAGATTCTGCGTTAGATCAACATAGGGGCAAATAACTTTTAAAAAGAAGCTTGTACTTAAACAACGATACAAGATTTCACCATTTAAGAGAAGAAAGGACAAAAGTTACTGTTGCCTGAACAGAATCTTTACAGACAACTTAACCATTGAAAACTGCTTTACTTTTAGCACCCAGAAGAACACACTTCACATATGTTGTGTTGACCTTTAAGTAAATGGCACAGTGACTCATTGCTTAGCACTGCTGCCTCACAGTGCCAGGGACTCAGGTTCGATTTCACCCTTGGGCGACTGTCTGTGTGCAGCTTGCACATTCTCCCCTGTCTGCGTGGGTTTCCTCCCGGATTCTCCAGCATCTGCAGTTCCTACTATCTCTGGTCCAAAGCTGTGCAGGTTAGGTGGATTGGCCATGCTAAATTGCCAGTAGTGTGCAGGCGAGGTGGATTAGAGGTGAAGAAATGGGAAATGCAGGATTGCAGGGATAGGGTGAGGGGATGGGTCAGGTGGGATGCTCTTCGGAAGGTCGGTATGGACTCGATGGGCTGAATGGCCTGATTCCATACTGTGGGGATTCTATGATGATAAGTCGATGTGAAATTCACAAATCAGTCCTAAGTGATTCTTAGCTCCCAAGGGTTCAGTTCTGTTCTTTTCCTTTGTCACCTTGCTAACGTCTGCTCCAAGAACAATTCTTCATAGTGAAAGTATTGATGGAGAACCTCTCCCTAGTTCAAACGAGGTGAATTTTCAGCCCCATTTCAACTCATCATGGATTCAGTTTTTTTTTCAATTCAGTGTTCAATCCAGGCAAGTGTGAGGTGATACATTTTGGGAGATCAAATGCAAGAGGAAAGTATACAGTCAATGACAGGCCCCTTAGGAGCACTGATATACTGAGGGATGTTGGCTGCAGTCCACAGCTCCCTGAAAGTGGCAAATCAGTGGAAAAGGTGATATAGGAGGTGTACGGCATTCTTCAGTCAGGACATTGAGTATAAAAGTTGGCAAAATTGTATTAGACTTTATTTAGTTTGGCCACACTTTAAGTATTGTGTGCAGTTCTGGTCGCCACGTTGTAGGAAGGATGTGAAGGCATTAGAGATGGTGCAGAAGGGGTTTACAGGACATTGCCTGGATTGGAGTGTATTAGCTGTAATGAGAGTTTGGACAAACTTGATTTGTTTGTGCTAGACTGTCAAAACCTGCTAGTAGTATATAAAATTGTGAGGGGCAGAGATAGAGTGGATAGTCAGAGTCTTTTTCCCAGGGCAGAAATGTCAAATACTAGGGGCCATAGTTTTAAAGTGAGAAGGGAAGTGATGTGCGAGGCAGTATTTTTACACATAGGATGGTAGGTGCCCAGAACTCGTTGCCAGAAGAAGTGGTAGAATCAGATATGATAGCAAAGTTTAAGATGCATTTCGACAAACACATGAACATTCAGGAAATAGAGGGATGTAGACTGTGTGCAGGCAGCAGGGATTATCTTGGAATAGCATCAATGTTGGTAAAGACATGATGGGCCAAAGGGCCTTTTCCTGTGCTGTACTGTTCAATGTTCGTCTTATGATTGTGAGATTCTACCCACTTTTTGAAACAGTGAACTATAAAGACTTGGACCTGTAGTTTTCTTTCTTTCTTTTCCTCTTTCTTTCACTCTCTGTTTGATGTCTCTTTTTCTGTCTTTGTCTCTGTCTTTCTGTCTCTCTGTCTGTCTGTCTCTGTCTCTCTAAACACCACTATAACTAACCCAGGCCCTGACTGACTAACCCACCTGTGACTTAGGGAAGCCTGGAACCTGATCTTTACAGTGGCTTGCTCTGTACCCTTTCCTGTGACAACATGTACCACATAGGCCTTGTATCCAGGTAGAAATGGTAGTTAGATGTTTTTTAAACCACAGTTTTATCCTATTCTGAAATCAAATGGAAAATTCAAAGTATACCTTTTTACAAACTGAAGTTCTTAACACTTCCCTGGTATGGGGACGCTTTCAAGATAGACACTGACCAGCTGCCTTTTCCATTGGCTGCAGATGTGAATGCCGTGCACTTTCATTTTCATACAGTCTAGGCTCCACATAATCTTTAGGAATCCCACTACCTAGGTAGACTGAGCCACAACTCACATGGCCTTCATATTTTCCCTCAATTTAAAGGCCATTCCAAGATATTATAATCTCAGAAACGAAACTGGCTCAAAGCAAGGAAGATGGTACAATTGAACGCCAGACTTGGAAAATCAATTGAGATGTGTCAAAAGGAGAACAGATGAAGAGGCACAGTAGCTAAATAAAAGGTGGAGGACACTGGATGGCTCAAATGGGTTCCATCTGTGCTGATCTGTATATAAAGTAATCCCTTCTTCAGAAAGGAGGGTCCAGACCCGAAACGTCAGCTTTCCTGCTTCTCTGATGCTGCTTGGCCTGCTGTGTTCATCCAGCTCCACACCTTGTTATCTATTATCAAAGAATTTTAATAATTACTTTATATACAGATCAGCACAGATGGAACCCATTTGAGCCATCCAGTGTCCTCCACCTTTTATTTAGCTACTGTGCCTCTTCATCTGTTCTCCTTTTGACACATTTCAATTGATTTTCCAAGTCTGGCGTTCAATTGTACCATCTTCCTTGCTTTGAGCCAGTTTCGTTTCTGAGATTATAATATCTTGGAATGGCCTTTAAATTGAGGGAAAATATGAAGGCCATGTGGGATACAGGTGGCATGGTGCCTCAGTGGTTAACACTGCTGCCTCACAGTAGCTGGGAAATGGGTTTGATTCCACCTTTTTGTGTCTGTCTGTGTGGAGTTTGCACATTCTCCCCATGCCTGCGTGGATTTCCTCCGGTTTTCTCCCACAGTCCAAAGATGTGCAGGTTAGGAGAATTGGCCATGCTAAATTGCCCCATAGTGTCCAGGGATGTGCAGGCTAGGTGGGTTAGCCATGGGAAATGCAGGATTATAGGGATAGGGTAGGGGCGTGGGTCTGGGTGGGATGCTCTTCTGAGGGTCAGTGTGGACTTGATGGGCTGAATGGTCTGCTTCCACACTGCAGGGATTCTATGATTTTATAATAAAATTTCCAATTTATTACACATACATCAATTACAACTACAATGATTTAAAGTTTTATTGATTGTTATTACAAATGATTGGAAATCTATATTTTTAAAACTATAATGTACAGTGTTTTAATTCATTCATGGGAAATGGTCATCACCGATTAGGCCAGTATTTATTGGCCATCCTTAATTGTCCTTGAGAAAGAGGTGGCGAGCTGCCTACTTGAACCTCTGCAGTCCTTGGGGCGTAGCTAGACCCGCTGTGCTATTTATTTATCCTCCTGCTGTGTTTTGTATTGGGTCCTAATGTCCTGTTGCCAGTCAATTCCTGTGTTTCTGTTTTGTGTGTGCCTGAGGACATCTTGTGGCTATTCTGTGAAATGTTGCTCTATCATTCAAAAAATTTCAGAAATTTGAGGGCACTGTAACTGGCCAGAAGTTGCAGATCACCCACCTTAAATCACAGCTGGTAGCTCTGGAAGAGCAGCTTGCTGCGGACGAAGAGGTTCTAAAGAAGGCAACACGGGCTCAAAGAAAGAGAGCAGAGAGATTTGAAGCTGCTGTGGAAGACCTTAATTCCCAGGTCAAGGAAAAGGTATCTATTGAATATACTATTTATGGCAATGGGAAATTTACTTTTTGCTTCTTACCGTTGCAAACACGAAAAATTTTTGTCCTCTTGAGTGTTTGAAATGTAGAGTCCAAAAGGAGTTTGGTTTGAGTGTTCCAGGGAACCTCAACGCAAGCTGGAGGAACAACACCTCATTTTCTGTTTGGGGACCCTACAGCGCTCCGACTCAATATCGAATTCAATAATTTTAGGGCCTAAACTCTTCCATGTCCCAGCCTCCTATCCCACACACTAGGCCTCGTTATCACATAGCCTGCCATCACATAGCCTGATAGTCCCATTAACAGCTATTCACTCCCCAGCCAGATCTCTTTAGGCTCTAACCTATCATTTACTCCCTACCCCATCTCCCTCCCTATTTTCTGAATATAAACCGACGTTTGCTCAGCTACCATCAGTTCCGAGGAAGGGTCACTGGACCCAAAGCATTAACTCTGTTTTTTTCTTCACAGATGCTGCCAGACCTGCTGAGCTTTTCCAGCAACTTCTGTGTTTGTTCCTGATTTGCAGCATCCGCAGTTCTTTCGGTTTTTATTCGGTTTGAGCATCAGTTTGTTCTGAATTCGATAATTCCAGCGGGTAAAGAGGGTAGTAACATTAACTTGGCTGCACCCTTAGTTACAATTTTGGCACCCCACCATCTCCAGCCCAGGACATTAAGCTCATGTCAAATGTGATCTCAGCAACTCCGAACACACCGCAGACCAAACCTTTGTGTCTTCCCTTCTCTTTCTGGTTAAACATCTGAACAAAATTACCTGCTCCTCTGATGCTGCTTGGCCTGCTGTGTTCATCCAGCTCTACACCTTGTTATCTCAGATTCTGCAGCATCTGTTGTTCCTGCTATCTCTGAAAAAATTACCCGGTTTCTTTTTGTGTGCCGTGAAACATTTCAGGATCTGAAGCTGCTAGAGGTGCGACTGGACATTGACAGCTGGAAGAAACAACATGATTTGGCTTTTGATGAAAGGGCCCAGTTGGAAACTGAAAAATTTTCTCTCTCCCAGTGAGTCAACCCGATTTGTTAGAATTTAATAAATGTGGTGAATTGCAATAAATTCAGTCCTCACACTGACAATTTTCACCTTTTCTCAAATGGAATTAATTGTACTCTGATCACTTGGATCATTTTCTTTTGCTTTATTGTCTGTTGAGTAAAGAGAACAGCGAACTGCACTGTGTGCAGTTCTGATTGCCACTCAATAGGAAGGATGTGGAGGCTTTGGAGAGGGTGCAAAGGAGGTTTACCAGGGTGTTGCCTGGATTGGAGTGTATGAGCTGTGAGGAGAGGTTGGACAAACTTGAATTCTTTTTGCTGGAGCATTGGAGGTTAAGGGAATGACCTGACAGAAGTATATAAAATTACAAGGCTTGGATAAGGTATATAATTGGAGTTTCTTTCCCAGGGTGGAAATGTCAAATACAAGAGATTGGATTAGATTAGATTAATTTGTCGCACGTACTAAGTTTAGGAATACATAAGTACAGCAAAGAGAGCACAAAGTCCCCATTCACTGGCACCCAATTGGTTACAAAGACCAGAATTAAAAGATTTACCAGGGTCTTAAGGTAAACAAGAAAAAAAAGATTCTCAGAGTCCCAAGTCCCATCTCCACAATGGTGCAGGTGCCGCATCAATTGCTAGGACACCCAGGAGGATGCCATCACTGCCATGCGAAAGGCCCACTCTCGCCACCGTCACCCCCTCACCGGCCCCACTGTCACCACTGAGAGAGTAGGCTTTGAGTCTGAGAGAGTGAGATGAGGGTAAGGGAGAGGGGTAGGGGGCTGGGAGAGTGAGGTAGGGGGCTAAGGGAGTTGGATAGAGGGCTGAGAAAGTGGGGTGGGGTAAAAGAGTGGGATGGGGGTGCTGGGAGAGTGAGGTAGGGCGCTGGGAGAGTGGAGTGGGGGACTGAGAGAGTGAGCTTGGGATCTGGGAGGGGGTAGGGGGCTGGGAGATTGGGGTAGGAGGCTGACAGAGTGAGGTAGGGGGCTTAGAGAGTGAGGTAGGAGGCTGAGAGAGTGGGGTAGGAGGCTGAGAGAGTGGGGCAGGAGGCTGAGAGAGTGGGGTAGGGGGCTGAGAGAGTGGGGTAGGGGCTAAGAGAGTGGGGTAGGGGACTGAGAGAGGTGGGGTAGGGGGCTAAGAGAGTGGAGTGGGGTAGGAGGCTGAGAGAGTTGGGTAGGAGGCTGAGAGAGTGGAGTGGGGTAGGGTAAGAGGCTGAGAGAGTGGGGTAGGGTAGGAGGCTGAGAGAGCTGGGTAGGGTAGGAGGCTGAGAGAGTGGGGTAGGGGTTGAGGGAGTGGGGTAGGTTCTGAGAGAGAGGAGTGGGATAGGGGCCAGGAGAGTATGGTAGGCGCTGAGAGAGTTGGAGTACAGCTGACAAAACCTGATGAAAACTCTATGGCAACCTTGGAGCTCAGGATTTCAGCTCTCGGTCCCACTTGGTGTCTCACCTTGCAGTTTACTGTATGATAGTTTGACGATGCATTTCCAAATTGCAACATAGACCAAGAGTTGTGTGCGTGTAAGAAACTGCTTACAAAATGATGCTTACTTCATGGTGCTGTTTTGCAAATGTTAATGTTAAACAATTTAATCTTTTCAATAAACAGTCAGGTGGCTGGTCTCGAGGAACAGTTTCAGAGAGCTACAGAAAGAAGCAGATCCACAAGCCATGAATTTCTCAACAAATTACACAACAGCAACTTGGAAAACTCCAATCTCAAACTGGAAAATGCGCAATTAAAGGTGAAGTGTTATGTGTAAGCCTCTACTATCTGTGAAGAGTTAGCAGCCATTTGAATGCCTTTTGCTATTTAATTACCTTGTGAAGTTTCACTTTTAAAATTGTTATATTAATGCAAATTGGTGTTACCTTCTTGGTGCTTGTGGTTCACTACAAGGTTCTGAGATCTCTGTCAGTGCCTACTGTCCATTTAAAAATTTGTGCCCCATATA